CAGATGGGTTAAGCCAGGCAGAAGTTATGCGCGTGCCTTCGTACAGACGACGTAGGATTGTTTTTAGCAAGGGTGCCTGATGCAGTACTCCTTTGGGGCTTTTATCCCAAATTGGATACCTCTCAAGCTTACAGTGCAGCTTTATATGGACTGCCAAACCAAGAAATTGCAGAGCTGCAGGGTGATGACAGTCCGCGTCATTGTTTCACTGCATCGCTTAAGCCCATCCAGCGACGAGATTGGTGTCATGGGCGGTCACCAACACTATTGCAAAACCCAGATGATAACTTGCTGTTGTCGTTGCACTGGCCTTCTCTGATTATTGCAGTGTCATTTGCAGTGACAATGCCGAGTCGTCCGAGGAATGACAGTGCTTCTGTGAGGCAGGTATCCCAAAAGCTGTTGGATTTCCCACCCGGACAGAAACTTCTTTACAGTTTATTTCTTAGGGTTTAAGGTTTAGGGTTAGGGTTTTGGAGGATGCCCTTTAAAATTTTAGGGTCAGAGGACGCTACGTTACTTGGAAAGACGCGACAGAGTCCAAAAGCGAAGACGGTCACAGCCACTGCAAAATTGAGTTTTGATCGAGGTTTGAAATTCAACGCTCGAATCCACTCCATGCATTTTGCAATGAGCATGTGCGAGCTGGAAGAAGCGATCGCTCAGAGCTCAGCAAGAGCTAGAGCACTGAAGGGCGCTCAGAAGTGACGCAACAGATTATATGAACCCTCAATCCTAAGATCCTAAACTGTAAATCTTAACCGTACCTCCTAAACTCAGGGCCCAAGCCCTGAACCTGCAACCAAAATTCTGAAAGCCCAGGCTGACATGCTTCATCAATTCATCGTACGCTGCAAGCACATGTTTTGTACACACCCCGCTGCAGCGCCACCTCCGTCAGTCCACTGCAGTCTGCCTGGAGGTTGACATCGTAGGGGACTTCAACGTTTTCAAGTGAGCGTGTGAGAAATCTGATTAGTCTTGACGTGAAGTTTGCAAGCACAAAGCGGAGAATAATGATGACGCAGCGGCCAGCAGAATGGCCAACCGGCTGTCCCCTACACACAGCCTTGCGCAATAACACGGATGTGTTTTCCTTCCGTGCATCATGCTTGTGATTCTGCCTGGACTTTGCGCATGCGAAAACATGCATCAACATCAGTGAAAATCAGTAGGTCGTTTTGAGTGTCCTCGCGGCCATGAGTGAGGCTGGGCGGTCCTTTCTGTAGCCATCGGGCGGCACAACTTGCAAGCTGTGTGGCCAGATGGGTTAAGCCAGGCAGAAGTTATGCGCGTGCCTTCGTACAGACGACGTAGGATTGTTTTTAGCAAGTGTGCCTGATGCAGTACTCCTTTGGGGCTTTTATCCCAAATTGGATACCTCTCAAGCTTACAGTGCAGCTTTATATGGACTGCCAAACCAAGAAATTGCAGAGCTGCAGAGCGATGACAATCCACGTCATTGTTTCACTGCATCGCTTAAGCCCATCCAGCGACGAGATTGGCGTCATGGGCGGTCACCAACACTATTGCAAAACCCAGATGATAACTTGCTGTTGTCGTTGCACTGGCCTTCTCTGATTATTGCAGTGTCACTTGCAGTGACAATGCCGAGTCGTCCGAGGAATGACAGTGCTTCTGTGAGGCAGGTATCCCAAAAGCTGTTGGATTTCCCACCCGGACAGAAACTTCTTTACACTGGCTTTTGGAGTTGTTGCGTGAAAATCTGCCCTGCAAATTCGCGTGTTTGCAAGGGCCGTGGGCGCCAGATGTTGTTTCTTTTTCCGTGCCGGAGTGCAGCGGCTCAAAAACCGAAGTATTCATACAACTAGTTTTTCGTACGCTCAAGGCGACGCGACAACTGACTCTGCCCATACATGCGACGCATCCTGCGGTTGGCTGCGAGTATCCTTGTATGTAGTTTTGAACCGCTTCGCGTGACAGCACGCAGGCTCTCAGACCTGTTTCGTCAATCATTGGGGTCAATCCGAGAGTGCACATACTGTACCTCAACGAACCCAAGCTCTAAACTCTCACGAGACGCAAGTCCTCCTAAAGATTGTAAATAGAGCCAAGGCCCCGAAAATATGAAAAAACACGCTGAAATTGAGCACGTCGCGTCGGCTATGTGTCTTGACAAAAGGCCACGAAAGATCCTTCAAAGTATGATGTGTATAGGAGGGGGAACCCGACAAATATGCGCATTGGACAGGCAAATAGATGCGCGTTGGATCCCCCACCTGTGTAAACAGCATTTTAAAGCGGATTCTGCTTCAAGATGCACTGTCCTATCCATATTGCTGACAAGGTCTGTTTTCCTTCTTGACCAATCATGTTTACAAGAGGGAGCTTTTCCTTCTGTACGCCATAAACCGCCATGCGGAGCTGCAAAAACGTTGCATGCTATGCATGGTCGGCGGTGGTCGTGATCATTAACTTAACTGCAGAGGTTCTTGTTGAAGGTGTGGTTGCTGCTTGGCATCTTCCTACCATTCTGTTCCAAGCATGCTGCTTCTAATGTTCCGTGGTAGCCCAGGCTTGCGTGGGCCCTCCATCATGCAAGAGTACTGGAGAAAGCCAGTGGCCTCCTGAGACATGAGACCGCAAAAAAAAGTACCGGACTGCTGCAAAAGACGAAGCTTAGGACAAGACGGCTGAAGCATTTCATGTGGACGAGCATGGCGAGCTGTGGTTCCGAACTGGTGACATTGGAGCGTTGGATGAGAACGACTTCGTGTTCCTCGTCTAGAGAAAGCTTGCAGCCAGCCTCAGCTTGACGTCGACAAATCCACTTTGATTTGAGGTTTTGGTGGTTACATCTGCTGGTGCGTGGTGTTGTCACGTGCAAACAGGTACATCATGGACCGCGCGAAGGACATTATCATCCGAGGTGGCCAACGATGTTTGCCTTTTACATCAGTTAGCGCGTTTTCGTGTTGCATGTGTCAGTCGCAGATTGGAAATGAGAAAATGCGCTGTGGTGAGCTGGTTCGTTCGTTCTTGAAGTGCAACAATAGATGATTTGGTCAGGAGGTGAGAACATCTCAGCCAACGAGGCTGGCGTCAGCGTAAAACCGATACAGCTGAGCACGTACACAACTCTTCGAGTGTCATTCGATTCTGCATTTTCGGCTGGCATAACTTTGCAAACATTTGCGCTTTGTGCGAGAACATCTCTGGACATCATGGGTTTGTTGCTAGCGCAACTGGCGCACTTGGAACGCCACAACTTTTGGCCAGGTGGAGACTGCGCTTTACGAGCACCCAGCAGTTGCGGAGGTGGCGGCCGTGGGGATGATGCCTCAGTTTGCGTGCTGCAGTGATTGAATTTGGTCCTCCCTGTGGGAGGAGGTATGCTTGACTTTTCCTTGCTGTTGACAATGTATGCAGTGGATTTCATTCACATTCACGGCTCAGGATGCCTGACGACCTGTTGGGAGAAACCGTGGCCGTAGCCATCGTTTTCAAGCGCCTTGGTGCTTCAGGGCTTGCTGACAAGTGCCTCACGGACATTTTGATATGCTAGCGATGGAGGGATGCCCCAGAAAATGCCTCTTGCAAAAATTGATGCAGGACTCGATGTGCTTATGGCAACTGAGGAAGGGGCAGGCACCACCAAACGAGGACAATCTGTGAAGATGCCTGAATTCGTGTTTGCAATTGCACACGCTTTTAGAAGCACGAGGACATTACAATCATTGCAAGTAAGTGCTTAGGCCCGAGGCGAATTCAGAATGCTTTTGGCTTACAACCTCGAATCCCCAAGCCTCCTGTCAGGAGGAGCTTCGTGTCTTTGCATCCGAGCGCTTGCCGCGTCACATGGTTCCGAAGGATCCACTTGTGTGCTGGGTTTGCCACAGCCCTGGGACAAGCTTGGCACAGCAAGCACGCACCTTCTTCTTGCCTCCCTGCCATGAAGGCCTCAATTTGTAAATTGCTGCGCATTGTTCTGCAAGGAGCGAACAAAGCAGGTCTGGAATAGAGTTTGAGATCATGTGGGACTCAGGCAAAAACGCCAAAGCACTACCTCCATTATGGTGGTTAACAACTCTGTTAATGCGTGTTGGCGCTCATTGCTCTTGGACAAATTCGCATTAAACCTCGGATGACCTTCACAACTCAGCGAAAAGGACCCCGTGCACGTTATCAGATTGCAGGAGTTCTTCTCTTGGCCGGGCGAAGCTCTTCCAAGAGGAGCCTGCTGTCACATGGGCTGAAGGCGTCTGAGAGGAGGGTGAGCGCCTTGTTGTCGAACCTTCCTTACATCAATTTAAGTCAATGTGCCTGAGTCTGGTTAGAAGGGGAACGCTGGTGCCCATATGAACCCGGCTCTATGGAAGGCCTGCAGGTGATCTTCGCAGGTTTTCTAACTCTCCCCTGAAGACATGAGGGAAGGGGTGGGTTGACTTTCAGCGTTGTGGGCCGGCTACGTGAGCATCTCAGACGAAAAGATCCCAGACCTGAAGCGAACACATGCCAAAAGTTAAGATGCAGGACAAGAGATTCAGACTGCTGGCCAATGCCTTCTTAGGCCCTGAAGTCATCGCAAGTCTCACGTCTCCCTTGCTAGCTGGCAAGACATGTCACATGTTACTTACTCGTCAGTCCTCTGCAGGAGCAACTGAGAAGATCCAGAAGCGTGCTATCCGTGCTGACCTCGCAAAACTGCGGAAGGGTTCAAGTCCAGCCAGCAAGCTCTAGGCTTCAAGGTTGGGGAGTTCGCAAACGCTCTATTCACCAGGCATGAGTGCTTGACAGGGATGTATCTAGCACCGCTACACAGCAACTAAAGCGTTTGGATGAGTTTGATATGCATGCCTTGTCACATCTTGAGCCTGCAGCAACAGTCTGCAGGCTGAAGTGAAGTTTCGTTAGCTGGTTCTAGCATTTGCAGAGAGCGCACTGACGGCAGAAATTGCCTAGAGATCTTCCACTGTCCCACCAGAATGCACCAGAGACATGACACCACAGGTGTCTTGGAAAGTTGAGATAGCATGCAGGCTGCTGCTGCCAAAGCTGCTGATGGCAGGCCTTGTGCCACCATGAACGGCAAGGCCTGGTTTGCATGCTTTCCTGCAGGATTGGGAATGTTTTGCAGATGCTGGTGATTTGGTGTCAACAGTAGACTCATGTAGACTGTTTGCCCTCAGGGGGGCGCTGGATCCTGCGTCAAGACGCTCGGCTGCACGTACACCTGCTTGCTTCTGTCTGCGGCTTCATGCCGTGGTACTTTGGCTGCTGTTGTCATTCTAGCTCCTTGTCTCACGCGACGGCTTTCTGGTTGCATGATTTCGTCATATTTCGTCGTGCATGATGTGTGGGCATGTCACCAGTTTGGCCCTTTTGTCTCAGGATGTTTCACAATGCAGGCAGATGTGTTCGGCATCAGCCTGAACGGCCACAAGTTTGACTGTCTCTTGTTCGTGCGATTCCAGCAAGCATTCTCCACGGCGCTGCCCGATGATTCTAGCCTGTGGGGATGCCACGTGATTGCGGAGTCCTAGATGTGCGTCAGCACGATTTCCATGTATTGCCCTTGAGCGGTGCAGGCGAGTACGCTGTTCTGCAAGTCTGGGGCGAAGTGCATGAGGCTGGAGCCTCGACTTGATGACCCATGTTGTGACCACAGCAGAATGGATGCGCAATGCTGATGGATGTGTATCCAAATATTTTCATTGCGATCGCACGCGGCGCAACTTTTCAGGACTCCCGCCCCATTTTCCCCGCCTGTCCTGCCAGTGCCAGTCACCCCACTCACTCCTCGCTGCCCCACGCTATGACCCGTTCGCTGACCCACTCAGCCAGAGACAATCCAAGCCATTTTTCAAAAGAGTTATGTTGGCGTCTAAGGTTCTTTCAATTCCACTTTGTGCAAGCATCCCCAAGCCCCAAAATGCAAATCTTTGGTTCTCAACAGTGAGTTGCCAAGATGTTTAGTCCCTGCATGTTGCACTTGGGGGTGTTTGACTCACCTCACAGACTCGCAGCTCCAAACAAAGCCCGTTCATTTTCCTTCCCCCAAACAATTTGGACTTTAGACGCGCACTTTCTGTGGCCTCTTGGCATTCCTGTTCGCTGTGACTTGCGCCTTGCAAAAAACGTGTGGAGTCTTCGCACACCGAACACTTCCGAGTGTTCTTGCATGTTGTTAATACGTTGTAATGAATTCTCATCCAGCTGGCCCGTCGATATGCAGTTGGCCCCTGGTCTGACCATTGTTTGCCTTGACATCTTGAGCTGCATCTGCACAACGCGTGGAGCATCAACAATCGCAGCTGATATCAGCTGATGGAGCCAGAGGTGCTGAAAGCCTATGGGGTGGACGGGGACTCCCAGGCCAAGCTCCTCGAGCTGCGTTCTTACATTTTTGAGGGTTTGGGCTCAGCTGCTTTTTTCAAGGTTTTGGGATGAGGATTCACGGCCTCGGTCATGTGGCAAGGATGTGGCAAGGATGTGGCAAGGATGTGTCTAGTTCAGAAACCCTGCTTCATTCTACAGGTTTTGCAATACTTGCAGCCAGCAGCAGTGTCAGCTCGACTCAGGTCTTGGAAAACCAAAACTGGCGGTCGCTATGCCTTGCTCCCGGTCCATTTCACAGCATAAGCTTTAGCCGATACAATCAGGCAACTTGACTGTGACTTGTCAGGCGCAGTTCAGACGGGCTCTCTGAAAGTCTTTAAAAGTATTTGGGTAAAGCTGCCTCTAGTAACGTGCGTGCTGAGTTGTTTGAGGCTTGTGCTCGCGTCGGAGGTTTCAGTGTTGCGGGCAGCTGCATTCTACGGAGTATGCTGCAGGGCCTTCCTACAATTGCCTGCCACTGCATCTCTTTTTCCCATGCTTAGTCAGCCTCCATTCTAAGGCAGGCCTTCTTGATTCCTACATGCTCGACATTACCATTGAGGTTACTGGTTGCGTGGAAATTTTGCTGCTTGCTTGGCTCTCCTCATGCAGGGGACCAGAAGTGAGTTGTGTTGCCATCTGTGCTGAGAGCATAGTCTGCAAGCGATGTTACCGATGCTAGACGTGGGACTTTGCTCGTGTCCTGCTGGCCGATCCAATGCTTTTGTCTTGCATGGGGCTTGAGGTGCCGGTCTCCAGATACTAGCTTGCTGTCCGGGAAACATGTCAATTGTACTGCTGGCAGTTTCCAGCAACCCATGAACAGTCTTGGGCATGCGCGTCCATCTCGAGAATTCTTGCCCTGAGTGCGCAACGACGAAGAGCCCGTTGTGGTTGATGGGGCGCCATTTTTGACCAGCCGAGATGAGATCCCAAACCCATGTGGATCAGTTCCTGCCTTCTTTGCTTTGATCACATCAGCCATTGGCTTCGCCTTGAAGCAAGACGTGAAACGGGTTATCAGGCTGGGGGATGTGGCGTATTATGTACATGCGAGTAAGCTCAACCGTAGCCTGATCCCGGTGCTTTCGCCCTTGACACAATTCTTCTTTACGTGCCCTATGATCCCCAATATTGTTTGCAGTGAAGTCCGCACTTTCACTTTCCAGCTGTTGCTCGCCTAGAAGCACAGGTCGGCCTTGTCATAAGGGCTGCAGTGGCGGCACGTAGCAGACTCAGCAAGAGTATTGAGTAAAACCAACCTCTGAATCTCCCTGGCAGGCAAAACCCGCAAAGGTCGCGCATAATCAGCACACTTGGGGCTGCACTTTGAAAGAAGCCTCACGGTGCACTTACGCAACGCAAAGCGGTTTAGGGCCTAGGGTTTTTGAGTTTAAGGACCCAGAATGATGCTAATGATGCTTTGTCGCTTGGGCCAGCGTCATCAGCATTACGGGGGTCGGGTTTTGGAGCTAGCTTGCACAAAAGGACGTGCTCATGACTCATGATGCCTCCTGCGGGATCTCAGCAATCATTTAAAGATATATGCCTGTTTGGGGGCCGTCTCAAAAACTCATGCGAGTTTGAGGCTGCAATTGTGGTGGAACCTGTGGGTACGAGGACGGCCGGTTGCAGAAACGGAGATGCTGGGTCGGCGACACTAGCGTGCCTCCCTAAGAGCGTGGCTGTGACGGCGTCTGCATGCACCGGACCACGATGCCCGGCCGTGACAAACAGAATTAGATGCATTGTTGTTCTCTGTGCGGCAGAAGCATTGCATGGAGACATGCACCAGTGCTGCCGGATGGTTGAGTCGGAAACCGAAAGAAACAAATGCTGAGTTGCATCAGGCTCAGTCCAGCAACCCCTTGCAGAAGAGATGCCATTGAGGATCCGGTAGTAGAAGTCAACGTGACTGTATGCTCATAGTGCTATCAGATTAGTTTTTGGGCCAGAACCAAACTTTGAGAATGAAATCATTAACCCTTGGACTGATCGGCCATAGGCGGGAAGGATGGGGATATGCTTTCGTTCTTGTTTGGATGCCCATATGCTGCTCGATCACCAATTCTGTGCTCAATGAGTGACATGAAATTCTCGTGACCTTGGACATTCCAAACTTAGATTAGAACTCCTCACAAAAAGATGGAGCGCACCTTGGACTAATGGGGCGACTCAAAGTTGAAATCAGAATCCCCCAACCTTGGACTGATGCGTGCCCGAAATAATGGGGCGACAGGACCGAAATCAGAACTTTGCAACTTGGGAGCGAATCTTGGGGCTGTTCAAAGCTTTCTTACCGCAAAATTCTTCAAAACCGTGGACTAGCAGGGCGTGCCCTGGACTAATGCAACGATTCAATATTTCAATCAGGACTGCTCGCGCCCCAGGATGCACCGCACCCAGCCCGTAAAAATCATGCAGCAGCAGGGGATTTCAGAAAAACATTTGAGAAAGGAATCAGGTCGGCTTTGGCCCGAACACGCGAAAACCCATGGTAAGCCTCTACGAGCGTAAGTAGAAGTACGAGGAGAATTGCATATCATCGTCAATGCACCGTCATGCCCCACGCTAGCAAGTTACCTTGCAGCTCCATTCTGAAGTGCTGCAATCAGAGCATCGACTAACTATGACCAACTTATTTGAGGACTTCAGATTTGTGCCAATCTCTTCCACACTCTTACCCGTCTTACCCACTGGATGTCCCCTCAAGATTGCTAATTTTAATCCATTTCGTTTGAGCTGCCCTGGGTTTGCAGTTTCGCAGGTTGTCAAGGCCCGCGACTCTACCGCGGCCGGCGGTCAAGACGATGGAGCAATGCTGCTGCCGGGAAATCAATGATACAGAATGGCCATCATGTTTCATTTCAGATGACCTCGCTGCCATGCCTTTGATGCTGCCGGCCTCAGGTCCAGGACCATGGACAAGACCGATTCCAAGGGCACAGGCCAGGCTCACCCTGGCCCATCCTGATCTCATTGCAGTATGCGCCAGCGGTCTGCCAACTCCTGATGCGTAGAGTGCACAAGCAAAAGGATATTCGTATTACGCAGCCTAGCATGTGCACAGGACCGCGCGGCTAGGGCCTCTTGCCGGGGAAAAGTGGTAGTTGGATCAACGGGTAAATCTGGTAAATGGTTTCTTTTTTCATCATTGAATTCAGATGGCTGCTTCTGAGAGTCACCCTGGAAGTCATGCTTTTTTCGGCCGGCTGTCTAGGTCTTTGGTCGGTGGTCGAGGCGATGCAGGCCTGTAGTAGACTTCTGCTACGCGTCGTGCCAAGAGAAGAGAGAGCTTCAACGCGCAGGCGTCAGTGCCGGCGCCCTCTCTGGCGGCTGCGCTCTTGGCACGTCAGATGTCCATGCTACGCCAGGGCCTCTCCGAGAACACGAGGGCCAAAGCTGCAGACAGTCATGGCACGCGCTTGAACATCCCGATTCATATCCACGCATGCTTGCAAGTAGGCAACCTTCGCTTCCGCAAAGCTGTTCTAAGTAAGATGTCCAGTTTAGCCTCAGGGCAACTAAGGCTCCGAACGCCTGGACAATGCTGCATTAGTGCCGCTACCGGTGCCAAAGGAAAAGGCCGGAAGGTCAAAGAGGCTCTAGCCAGTATATTCCATAGTCTCTGACCGCAAATACGACCCCTCATAGCAAAATGTCACAAACACGCTTTCAAAGCTGCCAGAGTGTTTTGCAAGGGCAGATGGAGTCCTGAGATGGAAGAAGACCTGTTCTGGGCGGCAGCTTTTGCCATCATCGCATCCTACGCGCAGATGCTACTCGACCAAAAGAAGCTGGGGAACTCTGGAGTCTTGAGGCAGTGGAACCAGTCAAACCTCTCGCCTCTCTGAAAGCTTGCCGTAGCTGGTTCAGCTGGTGATCACGTGTTCGACACTTTGAGGTTTCAATGCCTGCGGAAGATGGACGAGGTCGGGCAATTCTGGCAAGTATTTGGGGGTGACTCCGCATGAAGGAAACTCCAAGCATGATGCCATATCAAAGCACCGTTTGGGGATTTAAAGGTCTTTGACTTCGGCCTGAACCTGCCAGCGACCATTGCGACGTTTCGCGCAGGCAGGATGTCACATGAAGCAAGCCTGAGCAGTTGCAATTTGCATTGCCGGCGCGTGTCATATGAAGCAAGCCTGAGCAGTTGATGTTTTGTATAGCCGGCGCACCGCCCTGCCAAGCAGGCATTGTGTGATACTCCTCCCAAGTTGTTTTTGTGTGGCCCAAGCTAGCTTCACCAGCAAACTCTTGACCCCGAACCCCCACCCCTGGATTCAGAACGTCGGTGGATTTTCCGTTGCAGCATTCAGGTTTTGTGGCCAGGCGTACGTCAATTCGTAGGCTTTTGAAATCCATGCAGCTTTTCAATAAAAGTTTGCCCTTGGAGGAAAACCAGTAGGATCGGATGTTCTTGATTTTTTTTTGTTTTTGGGGGGGGGGTTTGAGAAACACATGTTCGTTCAATTCAAATTACCCGGCTCCCCCATCGTAGGGAACAATTAATTTGCAAAGCCTCTCCAAACTGCTTTCGCCGGGGGAGGGAATTAGAATTCACTAGTTAGGTTACGTGGCAAGGACAGTCTTGCCCCTTTCAGACTTGTTGGAAGATCATAAGTTCCGCCAGCAAGCAGCAGGATGATGTACCCTCTCAGAGGGACGTGGAAAAGTTGGGGAGCGCAAAGCTAGAAGGACGGACGCTGGCTGTGAAGACGGTCACGTAGAGTAGCTAAAAAAAGTGAAGTGGGCAACAAGACCAACGGACTTTCAAGCAATGCTTGAAGGCTCTGCGCTGCATGGCTTCTGGCCAGGGCTTTTGTAGGCTTGCATGGCATGTCGTGGCTCTTCCTTGACCGTGGTTGTGCATGGTGCCTTGCCTCTGGGCTCTGTGCACAGGCAGAGTTCCCCATGTTTGGCACCTCATTGCTTGGTGCACGGGCAACGCTGCAGACAGCTGTTGCCAAGGCCATTGCCCAATGCTGGCTGGCCGTTGCAACAAGATACGCAGCAGCAAGAGGGCCTTTCAGAGTTCTTGCCCGTTGTCGCAGTTGTCTGTTGTCGCAGATGGTGGTTATAGAGTACCGCAGCTGTGGCTGCAGAAGCTCTGGACCAGCTGCTACGAGATGAAAGTTCTGGATCGTGGAAGCCTTCCGCCGGCAGAAGGTGTCGTTCATGCAGAACGTTCTGCTGGGGTGTTGCAGCTTGAGCCGAAGGCGAGTGTCATGCCCACCCCCCGACTGCCCATGCTTCCCAGAATGGCTCAGCTGGCATTGTTGCAGAGTGATTGCCAGCAGCCTTGTTTTGTTTTTTGTGTTCTCCTGCAGCTTTGTATGTTTCTCGCTTTTTGCCCGTCAGACCGTAAGCCAAGCGGCATGACATACAGAAGGGTGTGCACAAACATGGGCCTGCCAACGGGTCAGGGAGAGGGTTAGATGCAGATGATGGAGGAAATGGCTCGCTTTGACTCTTGATCTGTGAACCTGTGGAGGATGTATCCTTCAGGGCTTTCTTCTCGAACCGATGACGAAGGCCGTGAATTATGCTACTGTAGGGCCGTTGGTGCAAGCGGTGTCTCTCTGCATTTGCGATTCCTGCTGTGTCGAGCTTGAAATCTGCTGCATCTAGTTGGAACATTGTTTACTTCTGTGCACTTCATACGTAATCAGTATTTCATCCGTAGCTGCCGTAGCTCTGCCCAACGATGAACGTCTCAATCCAAGGGCTTGCGGCCATGCTGCACTGGTCCGAGGCTTTCGAAGAGAATCCGAAGCTTCCCAACCTGCTATCGGCTTTCGGGCCAGAGAACCTCGTCATTGTTGAGACGCGTCCACCGCAGATAATTCAGAACACAAAGCCCTTTGCTCTGCACCGGAATGTCGTAGGTTCAATGCAAAGCTCAGTCCATCAATGAGGACACTGCTATCGAAGCATGTGTGTCGATGCTGTTTGCTGAGGATTCAAGATCATTTGCACTGCCCGGTGCTTAAAGCAGCGACCTGCCATAACTTTCTGCTTGTGCTCTTTGCGCCATCGAATATTCTGTCAGCCGAGCCAGAACATAGTGGAGGCTCCTCCTAGTTTGATGCGTGTCTGCAAGAAGTGTTGTCACTTGTGGGTTGAGGCTTCAAACGTGCGCCGGGGGACTTGTTGTTTGTGAGTTTGCAAGACCAGGATGCTCCGCTTTCGTTTACGGCAGCCAAGCCTAGATGGTTTGTTTGCACCAGGGCAACAGGCCATGTGCTGCTGCGCCAGTGGGCCAGTGTCTGTGGCAATTCTTGCACGAAAGGGCTTGATTTGTCATGCGCAAGTTCCCTGAGCCAGGTATTCTCAGCAAGATCACGCAAGAAACGGGCGTGACTGTGCCACTTGCTTGATGTCGCTGTGCTGTCATTCCCACGGTCGTGGCTTGCTGTGCCAGTGAGTCAGACCAGCCTCCTGAGCGCATGGGTTCGATCTCAGGTGAGTATGTGCGAGAAATACTTTCCAGAGGGTTTGTACTCTACATTCCGCTTTCCAGATGTGTGAGCTGCAATGAGTCATGTCACCACTGGACCCATAAGGGCCCTGCAAAGCCATGAAGCACCAAGCGATTACTGACTTTCTCGCTAGGCCCTGTTTCTATGCCTCGCTGGACTACATCCAGACAATGCGCCGCAACACTCCTGTATAATGGGCTTTGCACGCAGCTTTTGTTATTTGGCTCTTATGTGTGACAGGGTCGGGCATTTTTTCACAGCAGTTTCAGGGCAGTCGAAGAAGATGTGTACAGCAATCTGGTTGGCGAGAATGAGAACATAGCGAGGATGATCTTCTGGCAACATGGGAGGCTTCCGTGCACACTTGCAGATTCGGATGATAATTTCAAGTAAGAAGTTGGATCCAAGGTTGGTCGAAATCAGAATTTCGATTTTGAGGAATTGCAGGAGGGATTCCCTGGTCTTGAGTTTGTCGGATTTCGGATAACACATCCTGCCCGCGCCCCAGATGCAAAACCCGAAGCAGAAATCATGGGGCCAGGAGCTGATGTCTTTTCTCATAGCCCTATGGCCGAAGAACCCATACAATGGTTTTCGCACTTGTTCACTATGACGCTGACGTGTCCATGTCTTGTACGCCTGTTGTTCGACAAAGCTTGCTGGCTTTGTTGTGCACAGTCGGTTGCTGCTCCCGGGAAAGAGGTACCTCAAAGAGATCCCTTCCGCCCAGTGCGTCTCTCTGCAGAGGGATGTTTTCGGGCGCCACGGTTTCGAGCGACTAGACCAGGACTGCCACATGCACCTTCTAATCTCTGGCCCTTGGCGTTCGTTTTTGTGTTTAAGTTGCGGAAAATCTTTGTAAGTAAGGTCTTGTTACAATCATTGAGCAAGCGCGCGATTGCGAGCCGGAACTTGTGCTGGAGGGCTGTCCTGAGGCAAGTCTTTATTTAGCGCCTGACGGACATCTTTGAAGTCTAACTACTCAGAATTGCTACGTCAAGGGTTCTACTGCACCACAGTGTTTGGTTCCAATACCATTTAGCTGGAAGGGTAGCCTTTGGCGCAGGATGGCCGCTTCAATGCAAATTGGAGGTCACTTCAGCAAGGGGAGGCACTTCCATGCAACACTGGAAGCTCCTGGAGTTCACAATCTTGCAAAGTGCTGCTGGGCAGGCAGCAGTTTCTGGTCTCTTCTGCTTCCCCGAGCCCAAGCTTCTTGCAGAACTGCCTGCTCACTTGCATGCAGGCCGCTATTACCAGTGCAACTTCCGCGCCGCACTTATGACAGAACCAGGGCTCTCGAACTTGTTTTTGGATTTGATCGTATGCCTACTGAATCAGAGAGAGAGTTTCGCAGCATCTGGTGTTCTCGTTCAGATTGCAGCGAAATTGCAGCGAACACCTCGCAACGGCAAGCAAGCATCACGTATTGGCAAGCTGTCCAGCTCTGCAGGCTGTCACGTCAGGAAAGTGAGTGGCGTGCGGTGCCGGCGACCGACGAGAGGCAGGCGCCCGGTCTACACCCCTTGTGGCTAGATGATGCCTCGCAGTGTGCTTTTTGCCAGGCAGCACACGTGGTTGAGCTGCTTGAGTGTGACCCCTCTGACTCCAAGCGCGTGGAGGGAATCGATTGCTGAAGAAAAGCTTGTTGCTTTGTTGTATGCCGACTGTTCCTTACTGGAGGGTGGGTGATGCTTCTTGGGAGCAAGTTCGAACAAGCGGAAGCTCCTTGAACCAATCAAATCTAAAGGAGTGGCGTTATTGCAGTGTGGCTAGTTATTGTGCACAGACCCTTTGCATGGAGGAGCACTTAATTGTGCTTTGGCTGACGGGAAGCAGCTTTGCAAGCCCCTCCAGTAAAGCTACACTGAAACTGGTACTATT